GCGGTTCCCCCTCCTGGGGCGAACATCGTCAGTGGCATGTGGATCTTCAGGGTGAAGCGGCCGCCGGGCTCTCCACCTGTCTTCAAGGCACGGTACGTTGCTCGTGGCTTCAGTCAGCGGCAGGGAGTTGACTACTTTCAGACCTTCTCTCCCACCCCGAAGATGACTACTCTTCGGGTGCTGCTGCACATAGCCGCTCAGCGCGACTACGAGCTTCACTCTCTCGACTTCAGCACTGCGTTCTTGCAGGGTAGCCTGCACGAGGAGATCTGGCTTCGCCGTCCACCTGGCTTCACTGGGACTTTCCCTCCTGGCACCCAGTGGAGCCTCCGACGGCCAGTCTACGGTCTCCGCCAGGCACCGCGTGAGTGGCACGACACACTGAGGACTACGCTTGCGGCTCTTGGGTTTGCTCCTTCTACTGCTGACCCGTCGCTGTTTCTTCGCACCGACACTTCCCTGCCGCCGTTCTACATCCTCGTGTACGTCGACGACCTGGTCTTTGCCACAGCGGACACTGCTGGACTCGCCTACGTGAAGTCCGAGCTGTTGAAGAGACACACGTGCACAGACCTGGGTGAACTGTGCAGCTACCTTGGCTTGCAGATCACTCGGGACAGAGCACGCCGCACCATTACCTTGACTCAGTCACACATGGTGCAGCAGGTCCTTCAGCGCTTCGGCTTCACGTACTCCTCGCCTCAGGCCACTCCTCTGCCTACTCGCCACTCACTCTCAGCTCTGCCTTCGGATGAGTCCGTAGAGTCGAGTGGTCCGTATGCAGAGCTTGTTGGCTGCCTCATGTACCTGATGACCTGCACACGACCTGACCTTGCATACCCTCTGAGCATTCTTGCACGCTATGTTGCTCCTGGGAGACACAGACCGGAGCACATGGCTGCAGCGAAGAGGGTATTGCGCTACCTGTGCAGTACGTCGGGCATGGGGCTAGTGCTTGGAGGGCGGAGTCCAGTGGTCCTTACCGGCCACGCAGACGCTTCTTGGGCTGACGACCAGGCTACGCAGCGGTCGTCACAGGGTTACACCTTCAGCCTTGGTTCCGGCTCTGTCTCGTGGCGGTCTACTCGCTCGTCTTCGGTTCTCGGCTCCAGTTGTGAGGCTGAGATCTACGCCGGGGCCATGGCTGCACAGGAGCTTCGCTGGCTCACCTACCTGCTGACTGACCTTGGAGAGCCGCCTCGTTCTCCTCCAGTGCTGTACGTAGACAACAAGGCTATGCTGGCCTTGTGTCGAGAGCAGCGCTTGGAGCACAGAACGAAGCACATTGCTCTCCGCTACTTCCTTGCTCGTGAGCTGCAGCAGCGTGGTCAGTTGCGACTTGCGTACGTGGCCTCTGAGGCCAACACTGCTGATGTGTTCACCAAGGCACTTGCGCCTTGTGACCATCAGCGCTTCTGCACCCAGCTGGGTCTTGTGCCTGTCTTGCCTCACTTGCTCTCCTCTTGACTTCACTTGTACTGTGACATATATATATACCTGCTCTTGCTTGTCTAGCTTTATATATATGTCTGTACTCTTGCTTGTGAACTGGCCTTTGGCCTTGCTCTTTTGCTCGGACTGTGTGGTGACTTTGTGATCCACCCTGAGCTTTGCTTTGTCTTGCTTGACTGGTCTTGTGACCCCTTGTTCTCCCCCACTTTGCCTATGGGGGTGTGTCAGAACATATCTATAGCTTATACTGCTGTGTAGGCTGTAGTGGGGTATCCCATAGGGGGTACAACCCAGTTAGGGTTTCATATTTGTACTGCTTTCATTCATAGTTCATTCATTTCCTGTTTTCCTATTTTCACAGCAGCCCAGCAGTGCCGCAAGTGCCTTCTTCAATTTGTAGCACGGCAAAATTTGATGCCCCGCTGCGTCGCAAAAATCGCATTTTGTCAGTTGCTGCTTCGCGTCGTATTTGTCGATATCCATCGGTTCGGCGAATGTGGGTGGTGTCGATCGCTCCGTGCTGAATGTATGGTTTGGCCCGTAACGTTGTGTTTTGGATTGACCACGAGTCAAAGTGTCGTATCGTAATGATTGTAGTTCATTGCAATGACCTGTCGGCGAATCTCCAATTTCAACCCTTCTGTGTACGCCTGGATTTTTTCGCCCTCGGTCAGGTCAGTGATGCGGGCGAACAGTTGCTCCATCTGCTGCGTGTAGTGTGCTACACTCCCGTATTGCTTATGTCGGTGTATCTGCTGCCGCGCCATGTAGGTTGTATTAATTGGCTCGAAACGTTCGATGAGGTCTGCCCGAAATTGTGCCCACGTTTTCTCCCTGTGGGCCACGTCAGTGTAATAAATCCACTCGAGTGATGGTCCCTGCAATAGTGTTGCTGTGAGCCAAATTCGTGCTGCGTCGTGTGTAGTGTCAAATTATAATATTGTGTAGGCTATAGTGGGGTAGCCCACATGGGGTACACATTTCTAGGGTTGCATATTTGTATCACTCCCATTCCTTAGTCATTCTTCCTCGTTCTACTTTCCTCATGGTATCGAGCAGGTTCCCCCTTGGGAACTATGCATAGGGCCCACCACATCGAGTTTCAAATTTTTTTTTTCCTGTCCGAAGCGCGCTCCGCCCGAGTCGCGCTCCGGGCTCTCACCTTGCCGAGCCGCCCTAGCGGCCCCCCTACGCCCTAGCGGCCCCTTCCCCTAGCGGCCCCGCCGCCCTTCGTTTCGGCCCCGCCGCCCTTTAGTGCGGCCCCGCCGCCCGTCACAGCGGCCCCGTCGCCCCGCATCGCGGCCCCGCGGCCCGTCTCCGCGGCCTCGCCGCCCGTCGCTGCGGCCCCGCCCCTAATCAGCGGCCCCGCCGCCCTTCTCCTCAGCGGCCCCGCCGCCCTGCTCAGCGGCCCTGCCGCCCTACTCAGCGGCCCCGCCGCCCTACTCCTCAGCGGCCCCGCCGCCCTACTCAGCGGCCCCGCCGCCCTACTCAGCGGCCCCGCTGCCCTACTCAGCGGCCCCGCCGCCCTTCTCCTCAGCAGCCCCGCCGCCCTACTCAGCGGCCCCGCCGCCCTTCTCCTCAGCGGCCCCACCGCCCTACTCAGCGGCCCCGCCGCCCTTCTCCTCAGCGGCCCCGCCGCCCTACTCAGCGGCCTCGCCGCCCTACTCAGCGGCCCCGCCGCCCTTCTCCTCAGCGGCCCCGCCGCCCTACTCAGCAGCCCCGCTGCCCTTCTCCTCAGCGACCCCGCCGCCCTGCTCAGCGGCCCCGCCGCCCTACTCAGCGGCCCCGCCGCCCTTCCGCAGCGGCCTCGCCGCCCTTCTCAGCGGCCCAGCCGCCCCTCGCACCAGCGGCCCTGCCGCCCTACACCGCCCGCGCCGCTCGAGCCGCCCGAACCGCCCGAGCCTCCCGAGCCGCCCGACCTGCTCGAGCTGCCCGAGCCGCCCAAGCCGCCCGACTCTCCTGAGCCGCCCAAGCCGCCCGACCAGCCCGAGCCGCCCGAGCCGCCCGAGCCGCCCGAGCCACCCGAGCCGCCTGAGCCGCCCGAGCCGCGTGAGGAGCCCAGCCGCTGGTGCCACGGAGCCGCAGTTGCTGCAGTGCCGTCCGAGCAGCCGTATTGCCGTGCTGCTGTACCGCTGAGCTGCCCGACCCGCCATGCCTGGTGAGAGCAGCGCTTCTGTCACTGCACTGCCCCTGTCCTACAGTTGGTACTGCTAGTCCAATGTTGTCATGGCTACCCCCAGTGTTCTCGCTTTTGACGCTGAGGGTCGAACTATTGACTTTGAGGTTTGGGTGGATGACCTGCAGCTTTTCCTACAGTGCGATAGGGCAGACGGTCTTTCCCTTTTTGACCTCACCTCTGATGCTTCCCCTGCCCCTGCTGCCGATGCCGACGCCACTGTTCGCTCCCAGTGGGCCACTCGCGATGCTGCTGCACGTCTTGCTGTGCGTCGCCACCTGCCTACCACTGAGCGCGCGCACTTTAGTCAGTACAAGAGTGCTCAGACCTTGTACGACGCTGTAGTTGCGCGCTACTCTTCCCCTGCCACTGCTGCACTGAGCCGCCTCATGCTACCGTACCTCTTCCCTGACCTTGCTGTCTTTCCCACAGTCGCTGACCTCATTACGCACCTCCGCACTAGTGACACTCGCTACCGCGCCGCGCTTCCTGCTGACTTCTGCGCCAAGAACCCCCCCCCCATGTACATCATTCTCTATTATATAGTCACCCGCCTCCGTGACTCCCTTCGTGTAGTCAGGGACCACTTCCTCTCAGTCTGTCCCACCACTCTCACTGTTGACCTCCTAGAGAAGACCTCCTAGCAGCGGAGAAGAGCATAGTCGTTGTAGGAGCCTCTCGTGGTGACCCTCGCACCCCCATCTTTGAGGGGTGTTCTCCTTCCCCCCTTTTGCCCTCTGTCGCCTCTGCCGCTGCGGCCGACCTCGTTGGTCTTGAGTCGGTCGGTGCGGCGTCTTCCCCTAGCGGGAGACGCCGCTCTGGCAAGGACAAGGGGGGCAAGGGCGCGGGTGGAGCTAGCGGGGGCGGTGGAGGTGGCGGTGGAGGCGGCGGAGGGAGTGGGGGTGGCGGTGGGAGTGGTGGCGGGGGTGGAGGTGTCGGTGGATGCAGTGGAGGCGGAGGCGGTGCTAGCGGAGGCGGCGGTGGTGGTGGAGGTGGAGGAGGCGGTGGTGGAGGAGGTGTCGGTGTTCAGGGTGGCGCTTCGCAGCGGAGCAGCCCTGGTGTTGGTCAGCGCCAGCAGCAGCAGCAGCAGCAGCAGCGTTCTCGGGACATTCCCCCCCCTCAGCAGCTCCGTGAGTGGTACTCGCAGCGTCAGCGTGGTGGGGGTTTTGGTCTGTGCACCTACGTCCTTCGCTCCGGCGACCGCGCGGGTGAGCAGTGTGGGGGTGCCCACCCCACCCAGCGCTGCTTTGGCCGCCTGACGGACGCTTGGCGTCAGCAGTTCCCGGAGGCCAGTGAGATCCCCCGCTGGGGAGAGCTTTCTAGGGCAGGCGTAGCTATCTATGATCTTGACTTTGATGCTATCCTTGCTGCCATGTATGCTGTGACTATTAGTGATGAGGGTGACTGTAACCGGTGTTTCCCGCCCGACCTGGGCATTGGTACTGCTGCTCTAGGTGCTGGTGAGGCTGCTGCTCTAAGTGCCAGTGCGTCTGCGCCCTCAGGTGCTGGTGAGTCTGCGCTCTCAGGTACCACGTCGGCTTCGGCCTCTCTCACCTTCACACTTGACTCGGGGGCTTCTCACTCCTTCTTTCGAGACCGCACCACACTCACGCCGCTTGGTCGGCCAGTTGCAGTCTCCCTGGCAGACCCCTCTGGGGATCCTGTCCTCTCTCACTTCTCCACTGTCCTCCCGTGTCCGGCTGCCCCCTCTGGCACCTTGTCTGGTCTTTACCTCCCCTCGTTCTCTACGAACTTGGTGAGTGGTGCTGACCTGCAGGATATGGGGGTTCACCAGTTCACTCCTGCGAGTCAGCGGGTGACCCACTGCACGGACGCTCGGACAGGCCGACACCTGGCCACGTTTACACGTCGGCCGGGGTCGAGCATGTAGACACCGACCACTGCGTCTCCTCCAGTCACTGCGTCTGGTCAGGTAGCTGCGTCGGGTCAGGTGTTTGCTGCAGCGTCCAGGTCTGGTCCTGAGTCTGCCCCCTGCTCGTGTCGCCTCCTATCTCACGAGACTCTCCTCTGGCACCACCGTCTTGGTCACCCCTCCCTGCCTCGTCTCTGAGGCATGGCTTCCCGTGTCCTTCTCTCTGGTCTTCCCCGGTCCCTCCCTCCCCTTCCTCCGGGGCCTGGTCCTTCCTGTGTCCCCTGTGTCGAGGGGCGGCTCCGAGCTGCCCCTCACTCCTCTCAGTTTCCCCCGACAGAGGCCCCGCTGCAGACGCTTCACATGGACGTGTGGGGCCCGGCCCGCGTCCGTGGACAGGGTCACGAGCGCTACGTCATGTTGGTGGTTGACGACTACTCGCGTTACACCACAGTCTTCCCCTTGCGCAGCAAGGGTGATGTCGCTGAGGTGTTGATCGAAGAGCCAATGGCCTTGAAGTAAATTTCGAGGGTCGCCACGAAAAGTCAAACGTCAGTTCCTTTCGCGCTGGGATCGAACGCTTCAGGGAGCCTTGGGCGAGCTGCTTCGAGGTTCGGCGAAGGTGGTGCCATCGGTCCGTGAAATGGCGGCGTCGCTGCCACTGCTGCTGCTGTCGCTGCTACGTTTGTTGCTGCATTGATTGCTGCGGTGGCGGTTGCGGATTGGTTTGTTAGAAGGGCCTCAAGTCGCCGAATCGCCGCCTGCGTTTGTTCCATGTCGGTGCAAAGGCTGGCGATGTCGCTCTGTCAAACATTATATATGTGTTGTTACTGTGTAGGCTATAGTGGGTTAGCCTTCAGGGGGTACACAATTCTAGGGTTTCACACTTGTACTCCACTGTTTCATAGTTGACTCACTTCTTGTTTCTGACATGGTATTAAGAGCTTAGGTTCTAGACCTAAGGGCCCACCGTTCCGCTAGAGGTGCCCTCGTGCGCCCCTTTTTTTTTTAGCGCCCTCGGCACCCTCCCCTAGTGCGCCCTCGTGCGCTCTCCTCTCATGCTGCCCGTGTGCAGCCTGCTAGGAGCCCGAGCGCGGCCCCGCCGTTTTAGCGTGCGTAGGAAAACCGTTGCCTTGGGCGGCTTGATTTTTTCTCGTGAGCCCCAGCAGGCCGTCGCCCATAGGCCCCGCTCGCCCCTAGCCCGATGAGCGACCCACAGCCGCCCGCCCGCAGGTCGCAGCCAGCGCGCCGCGGCGATCGTGCGTTGGCTGCTGCAGCTTGCGCTTAGCCGCCGCTAGAACGCAGTCGCGGCCCGCGCCAACTGCACCCTAGGTGCCGCCGCGCACCGAGCATAGGCCCGCAGTCGCGCCGCCATACCTGCTCGAGCCGCGTCGCCCGAGTCGCGTCGCCCGAGTTGCGCCGCCCGAGCCGCGCCACCCTGACCGAGCCGCGCCGCCCTACCTGCAACAACTGCTCCTACTGCTACAACTGTTGCTACTGCTACTGCTGCTACTGCTACTGCTGCTACTGCTACTGCTACTCCTGCTACTGCTACTATGGCCAGTCCCACTTTTCTCACCTTTGACGCCGAGGGCCGCCCGATTAAGTTCGATGTCTGGCTTGATGACCTTCACTTGTACCTCCAGATCACTGCCAAGGACGATGTTTCCGTCTGACCACACGTCCGGCGCTGTTCCTGCACCTGCTGCTACTGCTGACAGTACTTTTTGCTCACAGTGGCAGACTCGTGACGCCCATGCTCGCCTAGCAGTGCACAGCCACCCGCCGTTAGATGAGCGCGAGCACTTCGGCCAGCTTAAGACCGCTAAGGAGCTGTACGACACTGTAGTTGCTCGCTACTCCTCCCCTGCCATTGCTGCGATAGGCCGTCTCTCACTGCCCTACCTCTTTCCCGATCTGTCTGCTTTTGCCACTGTAGCTGACCTCATCACTCACCTCCGTACTAGTGATCTCCGCTACCGTGCCGCACTCCCCCCCGACTTCCTCGCCTAGAACCCCCCCCCGATGTACCTCACACTGTACCACCTTGTCACCCACCTCCTTGACTCCCTTCGCACTGTCAAGGACCAGTTTCTCGCCCTCTCCCCCACTGACCTCACTGTCGACCTCCTCGAGAAGGAACTCCTAGCAGCTGAGAAGAGCATTGTAGCTGTAGGTGCCTCTCGTGGTGACCCCCGCACCCCCTTCTTTGAGGGGTGCTCCCCCTCCCCCCTCCTCCCCTCCATTGCATCTGCTGCTGCTGTCGACTACCTTGGTGCTGAGGGGGTCGGAGCTGCGCTCGCTCCCAGTGGGAGGCGCAGGGGCGGCAGGGGCAAGGGGGGCCGGGGTGGAGGAGGCGGCGGTGGGGGAGGTGGAGGTGGAGGGGGTGGAGGGGGCGGCGGCGGTGGCGGCAGTGGTGGGAGTGGTACTGGTGGAGCGGGGGGCAGTGGCGGAGCAGGGGGTGCTGGAGGCGGCGGTGGTGGAGGTGGAGGTGGTGGTGGTGGCAGTGGTGGCGGCGGTGGAGCTGAATGAGGGCGCGGTGGAGCGGTGCAGCGTGGCGGGTTCGGCGGCGGCCAGAGGCAGCAGCAGCAGCGTCCCAGCGAGCCCCAGTCATCCCAGAAGCTCCGTGAGTAGTACTCTCAGCGTGGGGGGTCTGGGGGTGGAGGTACCTGCCCGTACGTCATCCGCACAGGTGACCGCACTGGCCAGACTTGTGGGAGGTTTCACACGGCGCAGCGCTGTTTCTTTCGCCTTGACGACGCCTGGCGCGAGCAGTTCCCTGACGCCTTAGAGCTGCCCCGCTGGGCTGATTTGCTTAAGAAGGGGATTGAAACCTTTGCTCTTGATTATGATGCTATCCTTGCTGCTATAAATGCATTGACTATTAGTGTTGAGGGTGACTGTTACCTGAGTGTACCGCCAGACCCGGGTATTGGGACCAGTGAGGCTGCAGCTCTAGGTGCTAGCGCGTCTGCTGCTCTAGGTCCTGGTGAGGCTGCTGCCCAAGGTGCTAGTGCGTCTGCGTCTGCTGGTACTGCACCTACTGAGGCACTGCACACCTTCACACGGGACTCAGGTGCTTCCCGCTGTTTCTTTCGCTACCGCACTGCCCTAGAGCCGCTTCCCAGACCGGTTGTTGTCTCCCTGGCTCACCCCTCAGGGGGTCGGGTCCTAGCGACCTCCACCACTGCCCTCCCTTGTCCTGCTGTCCCGTCTGGCATGCTGTCGGGCCTCTACCTCCCCTCGTTCTCTACAAACTTGGTGGCGGGTTCCGTGCTCTAGGACGCGGGGGTTCACCAGTTCACCCCGGCCTGCAAGCGTGTGACGCACTGCACGTGTGCCCGGACGGGTCGTCACCTGGCTACCTTCACTCGGCAGCCGGGGTCGGACTTGTACACACTGACCACTGAGTCCCCTCAGGTAGCTGCGTCTGCGTCTGCGTTAGGTCAGCTGTCGCCCCCCTGCTCGTTTTGCTCCCTGTCGCACAGGACTGTCCTCTGGCACCCCCGCCTTGGTCACCCCTCAATGCAGCGCCTTCGCGGCATGCACTCCAGGTACCTTGTCTATGGTCTTCCCAGAGTTCTCCCTCCCCTGCCACCCTCGCCTGCTCCTCCCTGTCTTCCCTGTGTCGAGGGGCGGCAGCGCGCCGCTCCTCACTCCTCCTCGTTCCCTCCCACAGAGGCTCCCCTGCAGACTCTCCAGCTGGACGTGTGGGGCCCCGCCCGCGTCCGGGGGCAGGGCCACGAGCGGTACTTTTTGCTGGTCGTCGACGACTACACGCGCTACACCACGGTCTTCCCCTTGCGTACCAAGGGTGAGGTCCCTGATGTCTTGATCCCCCGGATCGGCGCTGCTTGTCTCCAGCTCCGCCAGCGGTTCCAGTCGGACTTTCCTGTCCTACGTCTGCACTCTGACAGAGGTGGCGAGTTTTCCTCTGACCTCCTGGCAGCCTACTGTGCGGAGCACGGCATCCGCCAGACGTTCACTCTCCCGGCCTCTCCACAGCAGAATGGGGTTGCTGAGCGCCGCATTGGTCTTGTCATGGAGGTCGCTCGTACCTCCATGATCCACGCGGCTGCCCCCCATTTCCTGTGGCCGTTTGCAGTGTAGTACGCCGCGCATCAGCTCAACCTCTGGCCCCGTGTCTCCGTTCCGGAGACCTCGCCCACCCTGCGTTGGACGGGGGAGGTTGGTGATGCGTCGGTGTTCCGAGTCTGGGGATGTCGAGCCTTTGTCCGCGATACGTCCGCGGACAAGCTCTCCTCTCGTGCCGTTCCCTGTGTCTTCCTTGGCTTTGTCCCTGACGCGCCTGGCTGGCAGTTTTACCACCCCACCTCGCGTAATTGTCGCCTTGACCCTCCATGCTTGACATTGCGTGTTCGAAAACCGAAATCGAGGGGGAGTGAAAAACACGGAACCGGTTTTACGTACCAGAAATCGGTTTTTAACAGTCGTCGCCCCCGCGGTTTTTGAAGACTCGGTTTTAGCGGTCGAAAAAACTTCGCGTGTAAGCGGCTTTGATTACCAAGTGTGAGGATCTAGGATCGAGCTCAGAAAAGAGAGTTTGAATTGAATCATCCACCTGGGTACAACACGAGGCTATTTATAGCCTCGACACAAGGCCAGTTACCCAGGTGTTACGCGAATGTTCTGAGGGTCGCGAAGCGTCCCGAACAGAACCTTCCGGAACTCAGTAGAAAGCAATTCGGTGGAAACCGAATAGGCTTGAGTTCGGTACATGTAACCTGGTTAGGTGCTATAACTATAATAGAATATAGGAATGCACCTAACCTAGGAAATCAAGCATATATATGCATGATAAATAAAACCCAAGCTAGATATAGCATAATATAGTCCAGGCAAGCTAGCAAAGCCAGCATAAGCCGTCGTACTCTCACAAATATGCTACCATGTCACCAGTTGGGAATATATGAGTTTGACCTTGCCTTTGTCAATCTAGTCCCTGACGAAAAAGTAACGGAGTGCGATGTGTTTTGTGTGGTTCACGAAGCCGGGCTTGTTTGCGATCTACGCTCGGCGTTGATCCAGTAGATTCTCCCCTTCAGGTCGCTTCAAGTACTGTGCGAGCTGGCTTGCGACGTAGGAGAGATCGGGCCGGCACGTGACGGCGTCGAACTGGAGGCACCCCAGCTGCTGCTGATAAAGCCAATGATCGTCGATGGAGAGCGGCGTGGTACCCGGTTCGTTATTAGGAGGAGTGAGGTAGCGAGTGGTTAGTTTGATCGGCACGATAGCGAATTTCTTCGCGAGTGTTTACGCATACTTGGCGGCAGAAAGGTGGCGGACTGGGTGACGTTGAGGCCAAGGAAATGTGTGACGGAGTGGTTGATTGTCTTTTTGAGCTTCTCTCTGATATCTGCTTCAATCTAATCCAGCAGTTCCGTGTCGTCGCCGTTGTAGAGGAGATTGTCGACGTTGGCAACAGGGAGGATGAACTTGCCGCGCGACTGCTTCCGATGTATCCCAAGGTCGTGCGGTAGTTGCTGGAACCCGAGCTCTAT